GTCGTAAATTCTGGTTTTGAATGAGTTATACGCAAATCCTCTATAACGCCATTGGAATCCTGCTAAAGATACCGCCGTTGAAACAGACTGTCCGTGCTAACGTAAATGCTAGAATTAAGTTGTGAATTAGATTAGTGGTCTTACAATAGCCATCTAAAAATTGACATTAATTCCTAAAACGGTTTGACTCAACTTGTACTTCTGTACTGCACTGGGTGTAGACTAGAAAGTGACAGCTGAAGAAGTAAAAGACTCGTTTCATATTCTTTAGGCCACTCTGTGTCAGACACCAGTGTAAGGCACATGTCCTCAAAAGAAGATCAGTAGTTAATAGATTTTGAACGATCCAATAACTATTTCCGCCGTTGCCAGTCCCAAGCCCGGTTGAGAAAAGAGGACAGTTCGTGACCGTGGCGAAGTGTCCGTAAACTTTAGCCACCTGCCACTCATGGTATTGACGCCATCGAAAATTATACCGGCTTGGTCGTCCGCCAGGCCCGGGATACCAAGGGCCGCGGGGGCTGTTTGGGGTGTGAGGCAGACTACGAAAGGTCGGCTATCAAAACCTGCTCATCGCCCTCTGCCAGTCGGGAGCGTAGCAGCAGAGCAACAGCCGAAAAAGATCGATGGAACGACGATGAACATAACAGCCAGCTACAGAGTCGCAAGCCGTTATGAATGGAAGCAGCGCGATTCCATTAGAGAACATCAGAAAAGCCTCCACGAGAACGACACCGCCAGTGGGAGCTTACAGTCAGAAATTGGAATGCATCCTCAGCAAGAATGAAAGAGCAAGAGTTAGCTGATGAGGCCATAAAGTACCAACTCGACATTGTTGGACTCTCGTCAACGAAACGCCACTGCTCCGCAATCCTGAACCTCCGCGGGTGGAAGCTATTCTACTACGGTGTCGTGATTGCGACGGTTGTCGTTGGTGTTCCGGCAGAATCAAACCTCGCTGACAGAGTCATTAATTGGAAGCCTGTCAGCGGACGGGTGCTAATCCTCCGACTGAAGCTACAACAGGCTAAAGCGTCGATCTTGCTATTTTTCTATGTTCCCAATATAGAGGGACAAAACAATTCCTTCCTTGAGGAATTACAGTGAGCTCCGTATGCGAATACGGAGTCCCTCATACTCATGTGCGATTTTAGTGCACATGTCCGAGAAGACGCTGAAAAGTGGAACGGCGTAATTGCAAAAAGCGGCCCTAGCGATCTCAACAATAACCGGAAGAAGTTATTGCGGTTCTGTACAAACAACGGATTGTCCATTATGAACAGCTTCTATGAGCATCGAAGAGTGCATCTGTATACCTGGTACTGGGAAGTTCGTGCGCAGAAGTCGATGATCGATTTTATAATCGTTATCGTCAGACTTAAGATGCTCAGTAGTGGATGTTCGCGTTAAGAAAGGCGTAGAGCTAACAATCGATTATCACCTTGTTGTTGGCACGCTGTGCTGTAAAAAATGGAGTACCATAAGAAGATCCGGTGGCAGAAGCAACCGGAGAATCAAATGGGAAACATTATCTTCCGCGGTTACGAGAGTGAAATTCCCAACATCGCACGACGATTGGCCTGAGATCCCGCTCATGGCCACTGATGTGGAAACCTAGTGGCAGTTCTTTAAGAGCGGCATACTTGAGACAACTGCCGAATGCTGCACATTAAAACGGGTTGGCCTGCCGCCTGGAGGTCAGAAATGATCTTCATGGTGGACATGACAGGTTCTACTGGCAGTTAAAAAGAAGAAAGCAGGGTTCAAGAAATGGCATGGAAACAGGGAGCCATCTACTCGCGTGCGATATGTCGAGGCGCGCAGGGCGGCAGCCATAGCAGCGGCAAAGGCCAAGACAGATTCCTGGGAGAAGTTCGGTGAGGTGTTGGAGTCGACTTTAAAAACGGCAGACAAAGTATTGTGGCACACCATCGGCCGATCCGAGGTGAAAAAAAGGGCAGTCACAGAGTCTTGAAGGACACATCTAGGCAACCTTTTACCAAGGATGATGGCATTTTTCGGCAATGGACGGAGTACCTTGAGGAACTCCTTAACCCCGCGCAACTGCAGGAAGACTCGCCC